TGTACATAATTTCTATCGTTCACATTTCCATTCATAAAATAAAAGTTTTGCAAAAAAAGTTTATAGAAAATTGTTTTATATACATTTATATAATCACAACAAAAAGGTTTTTTTTAACTTTTTATAAGTAAAGTATATTCAGAGGAGTTATCAACAAGTAATCGAGAGAAAAAAACGTTGCATAAACTTAAGTTCTATGGCTCTTTAAAAAAAAATACGAAAAAAATCATTCGTACGCGTTGATGTAGAGTAACCTACAAGTGCACAAGACTAAACTGATCAACTCAACCACGTGATAATGTTTAGGTTATTGTCAACATAAACCCGTAACGGTAACAATGTATTAATAACCTTTCAACTGGGTGCTCTCGTTTAATTATTCTTATATAAGAGGTACTGTGAACATATTTAATTCATGGATAGATACTGAAACACAGATAAAAAAAGTAAGTACAATTCTAAATTCAATAGACTATTCTCATAACACCGATTTTTGACTGCGAAGTTTATATTTTAGGTTACCTACTCTGCGGTAGGACATCCTGGTACTCGGTCAAGTAAGAGCAACTTAAAGAAGTAAAATCAAGCTTACAATCGATACAATTTGTGGTGAAAATGAACTGTTATATGTTTTCTATACACGACAAAATCATCAGAAAACAGTAATCTTTTCCCCCCAAATTGCACCAATTTTATGTTTGATTTTATTTCGTTTGGTTGCTCTAACCTGACCGAGTACCAAGATGTTCTACCACAGAGTTGGTAACCTGTCGAAATTTTTTAAAATCCGGAGTCAAAAGTCGGTAATGTGAAAATAGTCTACCATTGGTTTTTCAAATCAACAAAACAGCTGCATTTAACAGGTTGAGCACATTTCCTTATACGGACATATATTAATCAGAATACTTATGCTCCCGTCAATGCATGTATTTGTGTTTCTTTTCAAATAAAGCATTTTTTTACTTCGGCGTTTGACCAATCCACTGAATGAGTTGCAATGCATGATGGACTACTATGCGTTTACAATTGTCTATAACTGACATACTACATAATTTTTCACTGATTGCCAGAAGAAAATTTGCTTATTTTTTTTATTTACAGTTACGGAACACGATATATAATTATATTTAGTGCCATTCTAAAAAATATTTAGGAATTAAACGCGTAAAAACAGTGTTCGAATATATAAGTTCTTTGATGGGCGATGAAAATATTTCAAAAAGCAAAGCATGTTCCCATTAAAACTGACAACACATTTCAGGAAGCTCTTGTTTGTAGTTCCTTAGAAATATGCCACGAAAATTTCATACATTGCCTTAATATAAGATATAAAAGCACTCGGTTATAAGAAGGTTGGCGATTAGTGAACCTGAAACCACATCACATGGTATAGCATGTTCATATGAAGACTTATAACACATTTCAGGAAGATTTGATTTGTAGTTTGTGCAATAAATGTGACTAAAATTTCATACATGGCCATTCAATGTTAGAAAATATTAGTAATTGGTACACAGGAAGTTGACAATCGACGAATTTGAAACCAAATCAGGAAGATCTGATTTGTTGTTGAAGATTGCGACGGAATTAAGGAGACAGTGGAAAAACAGTTGATACCTCCTTCGGAGCTGGATTATCAAAAATTCAAAGTATCGACAAAAATGAAACAGTTGTTCCTCACATAAAAAAAGGGCTCAAACGTTACAACAAATCACATTTGAACTGCTGACAAGAGATTTCATAAAAGTTGCAGCATTGACAGTTAAATCAATGTACTGTGATAAAATACTTATTAGTGTTTATTTATACATAGATTACATGCTTTTTATGGTCCTTTTAATTCGGTTGATAGTTTTGGCTTTTCAACTCTTTATGCGACACTCCCTCACAACCTTATCAAACAAATCATTTCCTATTTAGGTGAATGGTTGTTGTAAAAATCTGAGTGCAAATGTATTTGCCTGAACTCATAAAGAGTCCTTTAATGAGAAAGATAAATACTTGTATTCTAGATACACTTACTAGAGCTGTGATGAGATGATTAAACACTATACTTGTTCTCCTTGACAACATTTATGTATGTTTTGGAGATAAACTTCATCGACAAATTGTTGGTATTCTTATGGGCAACAACTGCGCCCTTTTAATAGCAGACTAGCCCTTTCCGACTGTTTGTTCTTATATTGTATGTTACATTAGATGGAGGTTAGACGCCTTTAAACATGTTAAATACTGCCACATTATGTATGTGCCTGTCTCAAGTCAGGAGCCTGTAGTTCAGCGGTTGTCGTTGGTTCTTGTCTTCCATATTTGTTTATTGTAAATTGTTTTGTTATAAATCAGGCTATTAGTTTTCTAGATTGAATTGTTTCATATTTTCTCTGAGCCAGACATGTACACCTAACAATCATCCATACACCAAATAAAGGTGAGATATTGTTTATCGTATCAAAAAAAAAAATCCAAGACCAAAACACAAAAAACTAAAACATTGACCAATTAACCGTGAAGTCAATGTCAGACGAAACCCACAAATTTGACATGTACCCCTTACAATCATTCCATACACCACATATAGTTGACCTAGTACTTAATTACAGTATCTGAGAAAAGAACCTATTTACCTAGCTTTAACCATAATCACTGATCCATGAAATGAGGTCGACGTCAGATAACCCTGTCTGACGTAGATTTTAGAAGGAACCCATTACTAATATAAACATATTGCCCTCGGATGAAGGTGTTAGGGTAGATTAACACTAGAGGGAAAAAATTATCACCCAAGACGAAGTCGTGGGCGGTAATTTGTTCACCGAGTGTGTTAATCACCCTAACACATTTATCCAAGAGGGTAGTATTTTATTATACTGGATGCCTTATGGTTCAAATGTGCACTATGTTATTAGAAGGACAATTGTAAAAAAAATAAGTCATAAATGTAAGATAGTTTACTAATAGCAACAACAAAACGACGTAAATGATGTAGAAATAAGAATCGGTAAACCTCGGCCGGATCGGCAAACTTCGGGCTCATCGGGTGTTAATTTTAGGCGTTAACAATCGTTGCTAATATTATCACATGTTGCTATAGGTGGGCGGGGCTTATGAAAGGTAAATGAAAATTAGCAAATGCTGCGTGTTCAATGAAATGAATGGATAATATAAAACATTTGCATAAAGTATAATAAATATAGTTATCATGTAGTTCATCATAAGTGGGAAATTCACAAAACAAAAAACTTGAACATTTGTTTAGGCTGTTTCTGACCCATGAAAATGTGATCAAGGACAATGCACATATAATAGACGAAAACTTTGTAACATAAGGCATCTGTATTCAAGGTATGAAACATCAAGATCTATTACACTATCGATATAAAGCTTAATACAAATAGTTTATGCCGCCACCGCTGGATTTTAAAGCATATGGCTTGCAATAAGCGATGTTCGTCAAGGCTAGACAAAATTTAGCACAACTATATGCCCTCCTCAATGTATAATATTATCATGAACAGTAAAAGACTTTTTTTGCGCATCAATTAAAAAGCTCATATGCTAAAGCTAAAATTTTATTCGTGACTAATTTCTTCTTTCTGTTGAACCTGTATTACTGATATATTTTTCTGTTTACAGTTTCTCTCTATCTTCTATAGTTTTTCTCTCTATCTTCTATAGTTTTCGCTGTAAGCACAATAGAAAGTATTAAAACCAGCATTGAAGGGCAATGAAACTTATAAGAATACAACTGATACATTCATCTACATGTATGCTGTCAAGATGTTGTCTTGCTCATCATTCTTGCTTTTTAAAATTTCTATCTATCTATTATGGTTTTTAAGATAATAGACAAAGAAGAAAAAAAGATGAAATTCGTCAATTACTAGCTGTCAGTAACTGCGAGTACTCTCAGATTTGTACTGAGTGTCCTTTTGTTATGGGGATGTATAAGTACCCTGCCAAGTCCACTCTGTGTTTTTGTTACTTGTTTTGCTTTGTATCTATCTGATGAGATAAGCCCTTTTCAACTGATTTTTATAGTTTGTTCATATGTTGAACTGTTACACTACTGTTCCAGGTTAGTTGGAGGGTTGGGCGCTCGCTAACATTTTTATATCCACCACATTCTATATGTGCCTGTCCTAAGTCAGGAGCCTGTAATTCAGTGGTTGTCGTTTGTGGCTGTAAATCATATTTGTTTTTTGTTCATTATTTTGTACATAAATCTGGCCGTTAGTTTTCTCGTTTGATTGTTTTACATTTGTTATTTCGGGGTCTTGTATAGCTGACTATGCTGTATGGGCGTTGCTCATTGTTTAAGGCTGTACGGTGACCTATAGTTGTTAATTTCTGTATCATTTGGTCTTGTGGAGAGTTGTCTCATTGGCAATCATACCACATCTTATATTTGTATATTTAAGGCAATTACTCCTATAAGGAGTCAACTGACGATTTCAACCATTAATTTATTTGTAAATATTTACTTACTGATCATTTTTGTTTTGAAAGTTTCTATCCATTATTATTTTCAAGATAATAATCAAATACTCACAAAAGTGGTTAAAATTACTCGAATGAGTAACAAACTACCGATATCAGCAATGTTGACTTATTTGTAGATCTTTGTCTTGCTGATCATTTTTGCCACAAAAAGTTTATGTCTATGTATCATAATTTTCAAGAAAAAGGCAAAAATGAAAAAAATATGTAAAATTTGTCATTTAAGGGCAATATCTTATGCAGGAAAAGGTCTGACAGTTGTGATGTTATAAGACAGAACATAGACCTCATCATTTCAAATATGTTTGTCTGGTCAGATTTTCTCTACTTACAGCAGCCTTTAAGCTACACGATACCCAACGACGAGTGTGGCTAACTTTGATTAAATTTGGAAGAATCGTTTTAGAGGAGATGATATTTTTAAAAGTTAACAGACAACGACAGACGATAAGTGATGGCAAAGCGTACACTGGCCCTTTAAGAAAAAAACAATTTTGTTTTAATTATATTTATTATATTTGAAAATTGCTAGCACAGACAATGAACAAGTTACTGAATATTACATAGTCTTTATGATGGCCAAGTAACTGTCAATATCACATGATCATTATAATATACAAGTTACCTAATAGCACATGATAATTTATTAAGATCAAATAACTGTTAATATCACACCAGCATAATTTAAGGGTTATTCTGTTTTCTGTTTACTTTCTGCCTTCTAAAAAAGAGAGAAAAATAGATTTACTAAAAATTCAGAAATTATTGCTAGGTTTTTATTAATGCGAATAATGCGACTGGGTGGGAATCGCAATAATAAGAACGCACATTCTTATATCTGATACATATATATGTATGCAGGTTTATTTGAAATCGCAATCATTAATCTCACATTTTTGTTGTTTCTTTAACAATCGCAATAATAAATGCACGCAATAATTTCTGAATTTACAGTAAAAAATTTCCCCATATTTAGTTATAGAGAATTTCTTATGTTTGACATACATCATGTACATACATGATTTATTAACGACTGAATGAATCAATGTTCTGTACGAAGAGAGACAATATTCATTAATATATAATGTAAATCATTATGAAGCTTGTGTGTTTTTCTTTTTTATACTTCTACTTTGTACTTAGTATTTTTTACAAAATTTTGAAGGTATTTAACGACAAAAGCAGATGATCCAATATACGAGGTTCGAAAACGATTGCAAGTCTTCCTTCTGTTTTGTGAGTGAAACGGAATTGTTCTAGCTTATTGAATTACTCAAGGTGTTATCTTTTCATCTACTTGTAACTACTCAGACCTGTTCCATTTAAACGTACATGGAGCCAAGGGAAGGTATTTTGAAATTGAGGTAACAATCTATGGATACCATAATAATGAGATGTGGTATGATTGCCATTGAGACACAACTTTCCATCAAAGTTGATATAAAGTGGATGTGAGAAATTATAGGCAACCGTAAAGCCTTCGACAAGGAGAAAACCACATACCGTATAGTCGGCTATAAAAAGCTCCGACATGGAAATGTAAAACAATTCGATTAAGAAAACTAACGGCAAAAATTTGATAAGAAAAAAATTTACGAAAAAACAGACACTAAAATACAGGCTTCTAACCTGGGACAGGCACATAAAGAATGTGATGGGGCTTAACATGTTTGCTGGCGCCAAGCCCTCCTCCTAACCTGACATAGGTTTAACAGTACAACATAAAACTTATAAAAATGAGGACGTGGCAGGGAATTTATACTTCCCTCACACCGACCCCCCCCTTCCCCCCCACTAAGTACAGATCTGAGAATATATTCGCATTTAAAAAATAAATTCAAAATAACATATTTTCTCAATATGTCAGTTTGACGTCGCGAAAAATAATATTTTACGTTCGCGACGTCATTATCTCCCCTGTTTCTGTATCGTATGCCCTTAAAGTACCATAATTCAATCAGTGTTTCCTTCCTTCGTTAACTGGTAAACTGGTAATGTAAAGTTTTATTGACTGTTGTAAGCTTAACATTCAGTGGAAAATATCTCATAAATATTCATGATGACGACAATAATAAAGTAACACTTACTACCAAAATATTTATGATGACGACAATAATAAAGTAACACTTACCACATAAATATTCATGATGACGACAATAATAAAGTAACACTTACTACCAAAATATTTATGATGACGACAATAATAAAGTAACACTTACCACATGAATATTCATGATGACGACAATAATGAAGTAACACTAACCACATGAATATTCATGATGACGACAATAATAAAGTAACACTTACCACATGAATATTCATGATGACGACAATAATAAAGTAACACTTACCACATACATATTCATGATGACGAAAATAATAAAGTTACACTTACCAAATAAATATTCATGATGACGACAATAATAAAGTAACACTTACCACATGAACCAGAAACAAGCAAGATATCATCAATAGCAATGTCGCCTTCGACAAAACCAAAAATATCCCCTCCTATGGTGATCTAAAATAATCAAATAATGGCAAATTAAATATTTTGGCAATTATTTTTCCCTTTTATGTTAAAATTCAAATAATAAATAAAAGTTTTTTTTATAAGATGTACTTTCAAGTGTAAGTCATTATTCCTCTTAAATAAGAAATTTAACTGATATATATAGTACTTAATTTTCTATATGACTCATACGGAACATTTAATTGATATATATGCAGTACTTAATTTTCTATATGACTCATACGGAACATTTAACTGATATATATATAGTACTTAATTTTCTATATGACTCATACGGAACATTTAACTGATATATATATAGTACTTAATTTTCTAAATGACTCATACGGAACATTTAACTGATATATATGTAGTACTTAATTTTCTATATGACTCATACGGAACATTTAACTGATATATTGTTTTCAATATAAAGTTGAATACATATATATATATATATATACAAGTCTAAATTGAAAACAACGTTCAAACCTATGATTGCGTTGGATAAAAACCGCAATTTTTATACGTGTGCATGCAAAACAAATTTCTTGTTAGAGGGGTCTAAATACAGCACAAAAAACATTTTCTAAAAGATCAAAAAAGTGAAAAAGTATATTTTAACAAAACGCATTTGACTAACAGGTCGAACAACAAATGTTCTTAAACCCTGCTGACTGCCATTAGCGATTGCCAAATAAACGGATCACCCGGTGTAATAAATGGATCTTTATTATGAATTTAATACCAAACAGAAAACAATAAACTTGCGGAAAAGATGGTAAACCGTAAACAAAATGTGCAAAGAATTTTTGTACACCATATCCGGATTTCGACAATTAATGTCTCTTCAGTGATGTTAGGAATCGAAACGGTATTTGGAAGGCCATATAATTTACCTCAATTTAGGATAGACTCTTGAATTTTGAGGAGTCAAAATAGGATGAACGGATCATTAAAAACCCGGAGGCAAATATAATACAAGCCCAAACGAAAAAATATAAACAAGTCTAAATTGAAAACAACGTTCAAACCTATGATTGCGTTGGATAAAAACCGCAATTTTTATACGTGTGCATGCAAAACAAATTTCTTGTTAGAGGGGTCTAAATACAGCACAAACAACATTTTCCAAAAAATCAAAAAAGTGAAAAAGTATATTTTAACAAAACGCATTTGACTAACAGGTCGAACAACAAATGTTCTTAAACCCTGCTGACTGCCATTAGCGATTGCCAAATAAACGGATCACCCGGTGTAATAAATGGATCTAAATTATAAATTTAATACCAAACAGAAAACAATAAACTTGCGGAAAAGATGGTATACCGCAAACAAAAGGTGCAAAGAATATTTGTGCACCATATCCGGATTTCGACAATTAATGTCTCTTATATATATATATATATAGTACTTAATTTTCTATATGACTCATACGGAATTTTTTTTTTTAAAGAATTAGCAACATATGTCATTATCTCTAAATGAATTACATATATCATGTTACAAAAATGTGAAAATGCATTTAGGAAATTAGGATGTAAACAGAAATTTTATTAGTGTCACCTTTACCCCTGATGTAACTGTGGTAGTTCCACAGAAAAAAATGTGGTATATATCTATAGAAGTGATTTTTCAGGATTACCTAATTGTGTTTTTTCTATTGTAGCAGTTTTTTTTTTATTACAACAGGGTAATTGAATTGTTCATGTAAAGCCTGATTTTTGTACAAAACAATAAAAGAAAAACAAATATGATATACAGCAATAAACGACAAAGATACTTACAACATGTTAACTAAATTGTGGTATGTCTGAAGTAACAGTTTTTTATAGTTACACAATACTTACAACATGATAACTAAATTGTGGGATGTCTGAAGTAACAGTTTTCTATAGTTACACAATACTTACAACATGATAACTAAATTGTAGGATGTCTGAAGTAACAGTTTTCTATAGTTACACAATACTTACAACATGATAACTAAACTGTGGTGTGTGTATACTGCAAATTTTGTATATTTACAGAATGCTTAAAACATTATAGATAAATTGTGGTTTGTCTGAAGTACCAGTTTTCTATTGTTTCAGAATACTTTCAATAAACTAAAGTGCAATATGTCTGTTGTAGCAGTTTTCTATATTTTCAGAATACTTACCAAGATTACTAAATTGTGTTATGTCTGAAGTACCAGTTTCCAGATTTACATAATACTAACAACAAGATTTACAAATTGTGGTGTGTGTATACATGTACTAGCAGTTTTGTATACTTACAGAATGCTTAATACTTGAGAACTAAATTGTGGTATGTCTGCAGTACCCGTTTTCTATAGTTTCATAAATTTTAAATACTTACATCAAGATTCCTAAATTATGTCAGAAGTACCAGTTTTCTATACTGACATTATACATTTTGTACTAACAAATTGTGATGTCTATAGTAGCAGTTTCCTATAGTTACACAGGGAAATTTCACTCAAATGAATTTCACGTGAATTTAAATTTATTTGAATCTCACGTGAATTTCACCTCAAACGAGCTTCTATGTGAAACTCAAGTAAAAATCAGTTTTTGTAAGTTTCACGTAAATTTCAGGTGAAAATAACATGATTTTTTTTACGTGAAATAACGTGAAATTTAAAAATAAAGGATTAGACACAAGAATTTTTAACTTAGAAACAATTCACCAAAGCCAGTATGAATGTACAGTTTAGTTCAGTGGTTGTCCGTCATATCTAATTTTCATCAATTGTGATTAATCAGGCTCAATGGTATTATATTTGCTCATTGTTGAAATCTGTATGGTGACCTATAAATGCTTTAATCAACATCATTTAGACTCTGGTGGATACTTGCCTCATTGGCAATAATATACCACATCACCTGATGTCCATGCTACGGGTGCGTTTTTTCTTTAACATTCAGACGTCAAAAATGTATTTCATATATTTGTTAAATGAGTCGCAGAATACATACAACCGGATTACTATATTGTGGTATCTCTATAGAAGCAAATTTCCACATGTCTGGATCAGGTTGCCCTCCTGCTTTGTACCAGACCCTTGTCACAGAAGATGTTTTATTCCCAGCTTTTACTGTTAATGTTGATGCGCCGTTCCCCTTCATATAGTACTGGAACTATAAATAATTGCTTCCTTTAAATGATAATACAAATTTCTATTATGTTTTTTTGTTTCTTTCACCAAAATAAAGGCAATTTTTATTTGAAAAACACTATTAAAGCAATGGAGGAATTATGATTTAGTAATTTAGATTTTAAGATTACTAGTAAGTACTAACCAGTTATATTTTTTATATACTCCTAACATTTAACGAGATTGGGGTAGGGTACCGGTATTTTCTGTTCCAAATAACAATTGTAATTTTTTTAATAAGGAGATATAATCTAACTCTCTTAATGCAAAAAGACTGCCCACAAACAGGAGAATTTCAGTACAAAATAACATAAACAATATGTTGTTACAAATTCTTGTATAACAGTATGTTACTCTGTATATTTGAAGATTTACTAAGATATGCAGTCAAGATTTTTCCCAAAAAAATAACGTTATTTATATGACATCACACTAAGTCATAATATTGTTCATGTCACGTCCTAAGGAAGTTTCGCGTTTTTCAATTAGCTTAATCAAGCACTTTGCAGTGCTTAACAGAAAACGTTCAGTTTTTGCAATACAACACAATGATACGAAATTTCAAATTAGTTTTATGTATGTTCAGTGGATTATATTTAACCTATACAATAAATATTTCTTTTGTTTCTATTGTTTGAATTGCGTTTTCCATGTACAAGCACGTGTATTGTCTTAGCATATACGACATATCTTATAGAATTTAAGTCGTCGGTTTAATGATATTTCACTTCACAAATCATTTACCATGTATACAATTTTTTACATAAGGAAATGACTGTACCAAGTCAGGAATATTACTGTTGGTTACAATTCGTTTGATGTGTTTGAGCCTTTTATTTTGCCATTTAATAAGGGACTTTCCATTTTGAATTTTCCTTAGAGTTCGGTATTTTTGTTATTTTACTTTTTACATTTTGTATGTATAAATTGTACATCTTCATACTATTGCTACTATACATCTCGCAATACACTGTTAAATAACTATACAAAAAAAAAGAGGTGTGGTTTTATTGCCACTGAGAAAAGTACCATGGTACCATAGAAAATGTTGTTTTAAACGTTTGAATCGCTGATAAGTATTTTTTTTTATGTTAAAAGGAAAGCTACAACGACATACTAAAAGAATGGATAAGACATAGTTCTATACTGTAACGGAAAAAAATAGATTCATCCATACGAACAAAAATAGAATTACTATAGAAATTAAAAGCTGAACTGATAATAATGTCACATAAAAAAGATGCTTTTGTTCCTAAAAAAAATCGTCATGAGGGTTAAATAGGTCTTCGTTAAGAAAGGTTTAATTGCATCATAGTCGGGCCAATAAACTGTTAAGTTTTTCTAGGTATGACGATTTTTCTAGGAAAAGCTTCTCAGTACTATCATACAAAATTATTTATACTTGTTCACTAATTATATCACTCTTTAATACATGCAAAAGTCGCTTATATTCGAGTGATATTTACTTTCTTTTTTTATATGCCGTTTAAGGTTAAGGAACAGTAAATTGGCTGTAGTTGTTAATTTCTGTGTCATTTGGTCTCTTGTGAAGAGTTGTCTGATTGGCAATCATACCACTTCTTTTTTTTATATGTCACAGATTTTGGTAAAATTTGACATACAACTTTGGCTCTAGGAAGCACATAGAATTGACGAATAACGTTTATAAATTTGTCTTAACATCATGAAATTTTCATTTTTTAATATAGATTTTTCTTAAAAAGTACTAGATGTTTTGATACATAAATTTCCGTTTTAATAATATAAAACTATCATAGGGTCACCGACTTCGTTTTTCTGTTAACTTGTTGGTAGTGACAAACGTTTTACGACCTACAACGCCATGACGTTACGATTTTTTCACTGTTTTGTGGTGTTTTTTTTTACCTAGTACACATCTTTGATTGTATATACCGTTAAGACGAAGTAGGTGACCCCTTTATTATTTTATATCCTTAACGTGGACATTTTTATACCAACAAAATAGAGTTTTTTATAAGAAACTCTGTGTTTTAAAAATTGGAGATTTGAGGATTTTAAGACAAATTTAAGAAAATTTTTCGCCGTTTTTATGTGCTTTCCATACACATGTTTACCTCTTTTGAAAGAATTCAATCAAAAAGAGTTAAAGACATCTTTTTTTTTCAGTTAAAGTTCAACGAGCTAAAGGTGTTTGCAAAAGAAAATCTGTGACATAGCCCATTTACTGTAACTTGACCTTTATCAGAAAATTTCAATTAATAATCGTTTTGTTTAATACTTGTTCACAGAAATGGTAACTTTTATACTTAATTACGCGAAATATTCACAATATTCGTTTCATTTTAGAGGACTGAAAAAATAAAGCCAAGAATCACAATGCTGCGTAATTTTTTTTCTAAGAAAAATCACCTCAGAATATTTAGACATTTTTTTGTATCTGTACATAGGTTAGTAATAAGCCGATTTTGTACATTCGTTGGTATAGATTTGTATGCTTTGATAAAAGCATATTTTCAAACGTGAAAAAAAAAGAATAAAAAAAAAAAAAAAAAAAAAACTAAAACCACTACCTTCTTACGTTTCTTTGTTTACATCGAAAATGACGTGTTATATTAAATTCCAAGCAATAGGACCAACATCAGATACGTTTCCGTAGTTCAGTAACTTTTTCACTAGATATTATGCTAGAATTTCTTTTTACAATAAATGTTAATATATATAAATCTGCTGTAAATGGGATATTGTAAAGTATTCTAAAGGTTTGTTGAAATCGTCCCATTTCATAGGTAACACCTGCCACATATTACCCTCCTTACAAAACGAAGTATGTAAAAGAATCGACTGCTCAGGGTTTTCTTTTTTTTTTTCATTTGAACATGCATTCTTTTTGTGTTTTTGTTATGGGGTGCCGTTGTCTTGTTTATATAAGTATTTAAGAGTTTTTTTTCGGTTATTATCAATTATGAAAACTCAGTTAACTAATCAAAAACAAGGTTAAATATATTCTAGTTATATATTACAGGGGGGTAGATTCAGCTTTACATTTTACTTGACATAGATATAACAAATTCACTTATAAAATTATAATCAATTGTATTTAATCTTCATTATTTAAGATATGAAAAATAAAAAAAAATGCATTTTAAGGTTCAAAGGTTGTATTCTTGAACAATGTATTAAAACATCGCTTGTGAAATCCTTGAGCAATAATCTTTATAGAAATGACTTTTACATCGCTTTTCATATTTACGGCAAAATTGACGCGGGAAAAAATATAGACGGCGCGACAAAGCAAGGAATAAAAATCGTCAGCAAGAGGTTTAAGAGTGGTATTTGCAGCTTCTTTGACCTAAGAGTTCAAATAATGTGTCAGAGTTGGGTAATGTCTTCCTGCAAAATATAACTCAGAATAAAAACATGGCATTTATTGTCCATGATATATGTATATAAATAATTGCTTCCTTTTAAATGATAATACAAATTTCTATTATGTTCTTTCAGTGCATCCCTCAAACGTTTGTCTATACCTTAACAATTTCATATTGAGTGAGAAAAAGGCACTATGGGTGCCTGTCCTCCTGTATCTATGTTCTATTTTTAAATCAGTTCATGTAGCTTTTACTACAACTTTAACACAAAACACTCTCGGTGATCACATTTTTTTTCATATTCAGTTTTAAATTATACATTGTTAACGTTCATTTATAAGCCAAACAACTTGTAACATAATTACAAAAATATCAACCTTGTTCATCAGTACCTCATCTTATGTTATACATGTAAATATATCTCTTGTTTATGATTCATATTCATATCTATGTAAATTAGTACGACCAACTTTGTAAACCAGTAGCCTCAATATCTTTTCCTCTACACTTGCTACATATTACTGCCACTTTTTTGGTTGGACTGGATGGTCTCCAACGATGGTTTATAGTATGGGAATGCCAGGCTGATTGACGGGGGTAGGGCGGGGAAAAGTATAGAAATGTCAGGTTAATTGACGGGCGGTAGGGCGGGAAAAAGTGTGGAAATGTCAGGTGCATTGACGGGCTGTAGGGCTGGAAAAAGTATGGAAATGTCAGGTTAATTGACGGGCGGTAGGGCGGGAAAAAGTGGGTACATTATTTGTGTATTCAGCTCTTATTGATTTGTGGTGGTATGGGAATATAAAAAAAAAAAGAAAAAAAAAAAAAAAAAAAAGGATAGAATTTTTTTCATACTTAGTCAAAACTTAGTATATATTGTGTTATGTTCAAAAATACAATAAAAGTGATACATGTGATAGGACCGAGCTTTTTTGCAAGCTACATATGGTGACAAAATGACTCATTTTGTATGGATTAGACAACAATAAAAGCTTCAAAATGTAAATAGAAGGAAAACTAAATGATAGAATTTTAAATCAAAATATGAGATGATAGCTCTTATAAAATACTTTCAGAATTTAAAAAAAAACTAGATGGGTCGGAACGATACGAATGGCCCCGCTCGCATAAAAGCTTTAAGCCCTTTTTAGGGTTTGGAAATTTAAGAATGAAAATAAAAAAAAGGAGATGTGGTATGATTGCCTACGAGACACCTATCAACCAAAATTCAAATAAAGTGGGTGTAAGCAAACGTATGACCTTTAACCATGAGAAAAACCCATACCGTATATTCTGCTATAAAAGGCACTAACATGAAAAAATATGAAACAGTCCAATTGAGAAAACTAACGGCCTAATTTATAACAAAACAATTAACTAAAACAAATATGACTGACGTCAACTAACGACAACCACTGAACTACAGGCTTTGACTTGAGACAGGCAACATGTTTGTTACCGCTCAACCCTCTTTAACCTGGGACAGTGGTGTAGCAGCATAACATAAGAACAAAGTCTATATACATGTAACTGTTATTTTCACGAAAGTCCAAAGCCCGTAATTCGTCAAAAATCAGCAAAGCGGAACCAATTGTAACCTGAGGCTGTAACTCATCACAGTAGACTCATATACTAAAAATCAGCTTAATATGTGAAGGCGTTTAGAAAAAAGTCTGTATAACTACTATTTTCACAAAGTGTTCAAAGTCCAAAGACTTTAATTTCGGTAAAAATCAGCAAAGCGGAACCAAATGTAAACTGGATCTGTAAATCATCATAGTAGACTGATATACTAAAAATCAGCTCAATTTGAAGGCTTTTAGAAAAAAGTCCGTAAAAATGTTTTTTTTTTCACAAAATTTTCAAAGTCAAAAGCCCGTAATTTGAATAAATCGATATGTAACCCATCATAGTAGATTTACATATTAAAAATCAGCTCAATATGTGAAGGCGTTTAGAAAAAAAAGTTCGTATAACTGTTCGTTGCGGAATGACAAAATGGCGGAATGACGGATACAGGTAAAACTCTTTTTTTTTGAGGGCCATAAACTGGGATCACCATGTATTTTTTCCTGTTATATCATTAAATAGAAAAATAAAAATATCTTGTGTAATCAAAACCTCCTACAGTTTTCAATTTAGATCACTGAGACTTCACAGAAAGATTACACACATGTTAAAGAAAGGCGAAAGATACCAGAGGGAAGAAGTTGAACTGGACACTTTGTCAGAATGGGTCAAAACAATCAGGTCTCTGATAAAACGTCGAATTCATCAGTTGAAAAACTGTTTGAATGATCGACCAAAGTTCGTTTTCAGAGAAAAGAAGCTGTGAAATGTCTATCATCTCTTCACGATAAACATGTTGCTGTTCCTGCGGACAAAACTTCAAATAATATTGTCTTGGTATGTAAATCGTACTACTACGAGTGTCTTGTAAAAGAATTCGGAATAAATGAGTACTCAGGTAATCCAACATAGAAAAATATATTATTTCACAAGGATGAGATTTTGGCGAATCATAAGTCCTTCATGGCTTCAATGACATTACATTGAACAGCTAATCGGAGGACTTACCTTGTTTGTATTGGATACCTAAGCTTCACAAAATTACGTACAGACAACGGTACATTGCCGGCTCATATGCATGTTCAACGAAGATATTTTCCATTAGATTGACAAAAATTCTGTCTGCAGTGAAAGAGGGTCTTCAGAAATACTGTGAAACTGTTTACTCGCGTAGTGGTATCAACCATATGTGGATTCTACAAAACTCTACAGAACTTCTGGATAATTTTTAATCTATATCTATCTGTTATAAGTTCCATCAAAACTTTTGATTTTTCAACCCTGTATACCACCATTCCCCATGTGAAATTGAAAAATCGTCTAAAAGAAATAATCCACACGCTTTTCAACATAAAACTGGTAGCATACGCTATACATGTATTACTTTGGGATACCATACGGCATTATTGTTAATAGTGAACAAAAAGGTAAAATATGCTACACAGAGGAACAAGTGATCAGTATGCTGGAGTTTCTCATTGACAACATATTTGTTGAAATTGGAGGTAGAATTTTTCAACAAGTTTTCGGCATTCCTTTGGGAATGAACTGTGAGCCTCTCCTTGACAACCTCTTCTTATTTTCGTATGAGTCAGAGTTACTTCAGACACTTGTCAAAAACAAGAAGATCAAAGAAGCCAAATCATTTAATCTCTCATTCAGATATATTGATGATATTCTTTCCATTTACAATCCAGACTTTTCTGATTGGGTTCCATTAACATATGCTCCAGAACTAGAAATTAAAGACACAGCAGACACGGCTTCCTCTGCCTCATTTTTAGACTTATACCTCGAATTTGACATTAGCGGTCATCTAAGTACCAGAATCTATGACAGACGAGACGATTTTAATTTTGAAATTATCAATTTCCCCCACCTTAGTAGCAATATACCAACTTCACCTGTATATGAAATATACATTTACCAACTCATTCGGTATTCAAGAGCTTTCAGCTGCTACTCATTATAAAAAGAAAATGTTGCATGAATGCCAATGAGACAACTCTCCACAATAGACCAAATGATGGAGAACTTAACAACTATAGGTCATCGTACGGCCTTCAACAATGAGCAAAGCCCATACCGCATAATCAGCTATAAAAGGCCCCGAAATGACAAATGTAAAACAAATCAAACGAGAAAACTAACACTTTATAAAACGTCACCAGTGTTTGAGCAAAAAGTTGATGAACCAAGGTTATGTCAAAGAACGTCTCGTCCTTTTTCTAAAAAAAGTTCATCGGAAGATACCAACACCTTGTTGATAAATATTCCGTACCAACTTCACAAATAATACACGATGGTCTTGAAGTATAGATACTAGGTACTGACGTTGTATATCATCTTAATTACGTGTTATAGTGTTCTTTTATTTGCCTTTGTAAAGTATTACTTTTACTGTTTAGTCTATTTATGGTAATATCCATTTGACGTAGCTCGGTACTTATACATCCTGTCATTGTGTTATTGTGCTATTGTAAATTTTTGCATTCTTGTCTTTCTTTTTTGCTTAATATGTGTTTTATTATATGCCTTTTTGTTTTTCTTTGTTGACATATTTGTTAGTTTTATAATGATTAAGATTATAACACAATGTTGACTGCTGTACCCCTATTTTTGACATTTTTACCTATTATGTATGTTTGTTTTGTTCACACATTGTTGTCAATATAATGGAATTTTATGCGACTGTCATACAAGTGAGAGGTTTAGATAGCTATTAAACCAGGTTTAATCCACCATTTTCTACATCAGAAAATGCCTGAACCAAGTCAGGAATATGACAGTCGTTATCCATTCGTTTGATGTGTTTGAGCTTTTGATTTTGCCATTTGATAAGGGACTTTCCGTTTTGAATTTTCCTCGGAGTTCGGTATATTTGTTATTTTACTTTTTGATAAATTGTGTGCTTTTGATGGTCCGTTCAATTCAGTCGACCGTTATGATTTTTCGACACGGTACACTACACTACCACACAATTTATCAAATAGACGTTATCTTAATCAAATACATTTGAAGAATCTGGTTTTAAGATTTATTTGCTGCAACTTATATAAAGTCTTCTTCTCTAGAGAAATTGGCAAATATGCTAGATATACTAGTACTAGAATCGTGATGAGATGATGAAAGCTTTACGTTTTTTTCTTGACAACTTAAATGTACGTTTCGGCAATAAAGTTTATTGACAGGTTGTAGATATTCTTATGGGCACCAATTGCGTCCCTTTAATAGCAGACTTATTCCTGTATTGTTTTGAACTATAGTTTATGACCAACCTCGGTAAAGATCCGTCTAAATTACATCTAATTGATAAATTTGAAAACACTTAACCATTCTAACGTTACCTTAAAGATATTTTTGATTTAAATAATCCAGAATTTATTAATTTACTACGGCAAATTAACCAAAGGAACTTACTTTATATAAATCTACACAGACATCAATACTTGTCCTTTCATAGATTTAGAAATTTCATTGCCATTTTATAAAGGACTTTCCGTAGGAGTTCCGTATTTTTGTTATTTTACATTTTTTTCATACGAGTAATACAAAAATTTACGAAACACATTTAGTCATTATTCCACAAATTTAAAGCCCCTTAAACCAACAATTTCCCAGAAACCACAAAAGTTGAAAGCCAGAACAAGAAAATTACTAACACAATAAGGTGATCCAACTTGTCCATCAGAAACTTCATTTTCATTGAACCAATGCTGACATTGCTAAATATATATTCTCAAGTCCGGTAATAACCTTCTTCTAGTTAGTCCCTTTTTTCGTGAACATAAAGTGAACAACTACATAAATGTACCTTGTAAGTCAGCAGCTTCAGTTGTGAGTACAGCTTTGCCCACAGCTGGAGAAGATAGTTCTACATATATGTAGTAATTTCCCTTGGCTGGTGTTTGGGGCAAAGTTCCCGTATTATTGGTGGGACTCTATAACATCAATAGTTCAAACTTGATACACAATTAGTTTAAATTTATAACTTTAAAGGTTGATAACATTATCTACAGAAAAACTAAATGTTTTGTAGGTTGTACTTTATACTCATTATCTAAGTGCCAATCTGCCTAAGAATCAGGTAGTGGTGAAAACATGACAAAGAAAAACCCACTCAAGTTAACATTAATATATGCTCAAAATGTATAATGGTGCACGAAAATAACATTCTTTTTCCTGTTCTGGTATTTCAAGATACAATTTGGTTGAAATGCACTAAAAAAGTAAAATTAAGGGGAGCTAACACCGTAAATTGCTATCATTCTAACCAAAATTTATCTAGAGATTTCTCGAATTATCAGACACGTAGAAACGAAAGACCTACCATTTCTAACTCGAGATGAGGGTTACTTCAAAATAGGATGGTTAGGTCGGTGGGTTTTTTTCGGCGATGTTTTGAAATTTTTCTAAATTGTCTGATTTTTACAAAGACTGGCACTTAAAAACTACCCCTCCTTATCATTTCTGGAATAGTCCACAAACGTTTTTTGTTTTTTATTTAAGAATTGAATGTTTGATTTTGTAATGATATGGGATGTTTGCTTCATACTTAACATGCGATAAATATTAACACTTTGACAACTCAATAAAATTACAAAAAGAAGCAATCAAATGATATACTTACATTGTTATTCCAAAACGACAAAATTACGAGTCAAATCAAGCTTCATTTATTTTCTATGCATTGTTTTAATGGTGAAACGGATAACTCTTGTAATCATATTTGTTGCATGTTATACTAAAACAAAATTGAAATTCTGTATTGCCTTGGAAACTTCTATATGTAAGTAATGTAATCATTGTAGATAAAAGAAGATGACGGGTATGTACCACTGAGGCAGCAACCTGAAAATACCGAACCCCAAGGTAAATTCGAAACGATAAAGTCCATAAAAACTGACAAAATCAAACTTTATCAACCAAATGAACGAGTGAAATAATAAAAGGTCTGTAAACAGTTGTGAGCACTGTCATTGAATACAATTGTCATGACTGTCGTAAGCATAATCCCGTTCACTCAAATGTGACATCATCGAATTAGAATTAACGTCAAATTTTACACTTGCATCAACAACCTGACGGGTGCCACATATGGAGCAGGATTTGCTTACGCTTCCGGAACACGCGATATCACCCAGTTGCTGGTTGGGTTCGTGTTGCATTGTTTTTTTAGGTTTCTATGTTGTGTTTATTAGCTAGACTGTTGTTATTCATTTCGTCTTTATTCGGTTTTTTACGATAGTATTGTGTGTTTGTGTTCGACTTATGAGTTTGAATATCACTTTGGTATCTTCCACATCTCTTATCAAGCTATACATATCATTTATTACTGGTCGTAAATCGTACGACATTTTGAAAAAGGAGACTAAGTTTTTAAAGATCTTACAGTATTATTAGTTCTCGTCCAAGCAAAATCATACTCCAATGAATTCTTGAAAATACACGGTTCATCAGACTCAAATCCACAGCTGTAACTTGTAACGACTGTTGAATCTGTAAAAAATGTCAATTTTATTTTCTCAAATCTGTGGAAATGTGAATGAATATGATTACTCTTATTTGATTGTAAATCTATATTGGGGTAGTCCTCATGTCTGATGAATTCCAGAAGGTTATTCGTTTTCAACAGGTGAATTTTAGCGAGCTTATTTTATTTATTATACCTTTTGATAATAAAATTAAAAAAAACTGCGGGAAAACGTATGCTCCTCAGATACATTTTGGCGGGAAATCGTATGCAAATTAATGAAAATTCTCGAAGGAGTTACTGAAAAAAAACCAACTAGTAAAATGACTTTAAACATAGAGGAATGATCCAATAGTACTAGCAGTAGCTTTAAGCTAGTTCAAAGCCAACAACAACGTATAAAATATCATGTATCCGAGACTAATATTGTCGATTTCAATGTGATATATTCATGCAAATGAATGTACGTGATTCAAAGAATGTTGAAATCAATCGAAAATAAAAAAAAAAAAAATATAGAAAAAATATTTGGGTTGAAAATTATTTATTATGAATTGTTAAGTATTAAACACATTTCTACTTCAGATTATGGTGTGAAAATTGGGTCGGCCGCTGGCTTAAAACCGTTAAATAAATAAAAGTTTTTAGGACTTTTATTCACATTAAGACTTAATTGGTCAGTTTACACACCGACGGACAACGTTATTACTGGTGATCTAAACATTGTCAACAACATTTCTCTGCGAAATGTGTTATTCAAAGACCCGAAATATTGTGAGCCTAAATACATTAATTGGAAACACAACTTCAAAATACTGATGGATTTGGGCAAGGATTATTCCAGACATTGGGAAGAACGGGAGGCTGAAGACGAAGATGATACTCTTTCCGAATGGATAATGGCTGTGAGGTCGTAGATACAAATCAGAATTAACAAACTGAATGGGTAGCTACATCAATCTTCAAAGACCAAAATGTTGCAAAACACCTTTCCGACCTCACTGTCAAATATATTGTTGTCCGCGCATATAACACTCCGAACACCTTCGTGTTAGTGTGTAAATTACATTACATAAACTGCTTGATAAACGAATTAGGTATTGCCAATTCACTTCGAAACTCAACATATATACTTACGACACTTACCAAGGAGGAAATCCTGAATAATCATAGATCTGTTCTATGTTCCTATAGAATTTCAACAAAAGTTGAACAGGATCTTCCTTCACTGCATTAGATACATAAACTGCGCAAAATTCCTTACAAGCAATATTATATTGCTTGGTCTTCCTATTGCTCCACGAAACCTCTTTCTAAATTATTTACATCAATTTTATCAGCAATCAAGGTTATTGTGAAACTACATTTTCTAGAGGTTGCGTGAAGTAGAGGTGAATACTAAAAAATTACAAATTACAGAGTACATACAATCTTAGACTCTTTCATCTTGCAACAGTATCAAAACATTTGACTTTTCAAGACTTTACACAAGTATTCCTGTTTCCAAACTAAAAGACAAATTCAAAGAGTTGTCCTGCTTGAAAAAAAGAATGACCAACAAGTACAAGTATCTTGTCTTAGTGAGGGATATATCGTACTTTGTAAAACATCATTCTGATTCAAACTAAAAACAAAAAATACTCTGCAACTGACATTATAAAGATTTTTTGATTGACAACATATTTGTTACGTTGAGGACGTGTTTTTAAACAAACAATTGGCATTCCTATGGGAACCAATTTTGCTCTTCTGTTTGCCAGCTTATTCCTTTATTCATATGAGGCTGACTTCATATGGGAAATTCTTAGGAAAATAGAAAAGAGCTTAGCAGTATATTTTAACTTCGTTTTCCGCTATATAGATGGTGTCCTCTCACTAAATAATTCAAAATTTGGTGACAATGTTGAAAGTAATTATCCCATCGAACTTGATATTAAGGATACAACAGAAACAGATAAGTCTGTTTCATATCTTGACTAATATCTAAAAATTGACAATGAGGGTCGGATGAAAACAAAACTTTACGACAAAAGAGATGATTCCAGCTTCCAAATTGTGAACTTTCCATTTCTATGTAGCAACACTCCAGCAGCGCCTGCATACGGAGCATATTTCTCACAGTTGAAACGATATTCCAAGGCTTGTGTTTCTTATCATGATTTTCTTTATAGAGGGTTGCTGCTCACAAGGTGGATATAAAATCAAGTGTTCTAAGTGGTGAAGTTAATATCATCTAGTAAATTTTACGCCATCAAGATTTTATCAACCGTTGTGCAATATCTGTTTCACAGATGATGATTGATATGTTACTAATGTCGTAGCTACAATCCCGTCCCCTTTTCCCGAATGTGACCTACCGATTTAGAGTTATGACCGGGTCTATACTAACATGAGCAACACGACGGGTGCCACATGTGGAGCAGGATCTTCTTACTCTTCCGGAGTACCTTAAGTTTTTGATGGGGTACGTGTTGCTCTGTCTGTCGTTTTCTATGTTGTGTTTTGTGTACTGTTGTTTGTCTGTTGGTCTTTTCTGTTTGATCCATGGCGTTGTTGGTTTATTTTCAAATTATAAGTTGTCCTTTTGCGTCTCTTTTACACATCAATCACCGCTATCAAATGCCTTAAATTCTATATTGAAATAAATTTTGAATGAACCTTCATATTCCAAATATTTCATTTCTCTATACATTATTTTTTGAATTGAGTTATTGGTAAATGTTGCATGCTTTGTTGTTGTCAATAGTTCAAGAATACTCAAAATGAAAACAAATTAACAATAAATCGTGTATGTGGATTTTGCAAAGATGATCGACCGAGATGAGTGGATAAGTTATTTGGAATACACCTGACAAAACAGGACATGCATAGGTACGGAGCAACATAATCTATTCTGAAAAATACAATAAATAATGAAGCAAGAACATAAAGTTTATCGCGTAGCTAAAAAAAATTACTACCAAGAAAAGATGAGTTCCTGAAAAGCTAGCATGAAGTCATCGTCAAGTAAAAGGTCTTATCATAAACACTATCCATTATAATAATACGAAGATGGGGTATGATTGTAAATGAGAAAATTCTCCACCAGAAACTAAATGACGTAGAAGCTCACACATACAGGTCATTGATGAGCAAAACCCATACCACAAAGTAAGCGGTAGAAAGCCTCGAAATGATAAATGTAAAACAATTCAAACGAGAAACTAACGGCCTGATTTATGTACAAAACAATAAACGAAAAACAAATATGATAAACAGCAACATATGACAACCACTGAATTACAGGATCCTGACTGGAGAGGAACATACAGAATGATATACAGCAACATATGATAACCACTGAATTACAGGATCCTGACTGGACAGGAACATACAGAATGATATACAACAACATATGACAACCACTGAATTACAGGATCCTGACTGGACAGGAACATACAGAATGATATACAACAACATATGATAACCACTGAATTACAGGATCCTGACTGGACAGGAACATACAGAATGATATACAGCAAAATATGATAACCACTGAATTACAGGATCCTGACTGGACAGGAAAATACAGAATGATATACAACAACATATGATAACCACTGCATTACAGGATCCTGACTGGACAGGAACATACAGAATGATTCACAGGAACATACAGAAAGATTGACAGGAACATACAGAATTTGGCGACGATAAACATGTTTGATCCCGCCTAGCCTGTGGTTATGGTGTAACAGTACAACACGAGACAGGAACATACAGAATGTGGCGACGATAAACATGTTTGATCCCGCCTAGCCTGTGGTTATGGTGTAACAGTACAACACGAGACAGGAACATACATAATGTGGCGACGATAAACATGTTTGATCCCCCTAGCCTGTGACAATGGTGTAACAGTACAACATGAGAACAAACAATAGAAATCAGCTGTGAAGGACACTTAACTCATCAGATCGATACAAAACACATAAATGTAAAAATCCTAACAAAAACAAAAAAGACACAAAGTAAACATCTAAGATTACTTGCGGTTACTAAAAGCTAGTTCAAAGCCAATAACAACTAATAACAAATCTTTTGTCTAAGACTAAAATCTTGATCAGTACACATCCATCATCAACTAGATTAAGTGTAAAGGCAATTACAGTCAGAGAAAACCATGTCCTTGTGCAGAGCTAAAATATAGGTACCGGGAGATTGTAGAACCGTAAATTTACATATGTTTATAACAATAATATTAATATGAAAATAAGGAGATGAGGTATGATTGCCAATGAGACAACTATCCACCAAAGTTCAAATGAAATGAATAATTGGCAACCGTACGGTCTTTAACGATGAGAAAATACCGTATAGTCGGCTATAAAAGGCTCCGACATGAAAATTATGAAACAATTCTGTTAAGAAAATACTTGAAGTTTGGTTTTAATTTACAAAGTTAATAGTTATACCAATAAAACAATTTTCAAAGACCGAATTACAGTGTTGAATTGGTACATTTGTAAATTTTAAGAATAGGCTTATTTAAAGGATCGATTGGTTTACTTTGATCGTATCTAAATTTACAGGTTCGGTAAACAACATCACCGTAAAAGTTAAGATGTGCTATCTTGTTTAAAATAATGTTTTCTATAAGCACAACAAAACTTCCAAATGAAATTGTATCTATCATAATGGAAGAATTTAGTAAAGGTTTAAGAAATTGTGATAACGAATTCCTTGACTCAATAAGTTTGCCGTAATACATAGATTACATGTATTGAAATCCAAAACGCCACTACATGCACTGACATAGCGAACTAGTTGATTATTTTGTCATTCACAACGAACATTACAAATTAAATACAGAATATGTTATTTTCAGTTTGGACACCGTCGTCCGAAACGTTATTTGTACCAGTCGTCTTCATTGGCATTCTTGACTGTTGAGCACACATTTAATGAATAGGAAGCCAATACTATTCCATCATTTATTTTAGAAATATTTTCTTAGTACAGCTTTGTTTGCAACATGTTGTTATTCGAACACTTGTCTATACATTTCACTCTATTTGAATAAGAGGGGCAATAACTATTGCATCATGTATTTGTATACTAACATTTGCAACATGGTCTTTCATTACAACATCTGCCTTCACTTGCCCATCCTGACCCAAACGTGTCATCACAAGTAACATTTTTTCTTCCACATTTACCATTTAAAGCCCGACATTTTCTAGTGAGTCCTGAAAAGTATTGGATTACATTTGATTTATACATTATTAAATAAGAAAATATTTTTAAAGTCATTACATGTAATAAGTAAACCATTATTGAAAACGAAGTATAAGGTATACGTCAAAGTGCTGAAAAATATATTGGTCGTAATTTTTGCAAATAGGTAAACATTAAACTTTCACGTTCTATAATTATTTCCGTTTAGCAGGTCAAATATAGTATTTTACAGTTTCATTCGAAGAAACATGGTTAAGAGTAAATGCATTTTACTTTAGTTACGAGCATCTAAAAAAGATGTAAACTCTAAACTGAAAGACTGATTTTTAATTTACAATATGTTTATCTATCATTATTCTAAGGTTTGCAAAGCATAATATTCGACACAAAGAAAAAAGTGTTATGTTTTAGCAAACCGTTCAATTTGTTATGCCACATATAAGGGATATTTACGATTTCTCAATAATAAATGTAACTGAATTTTGGAGGTGTTTGTAACTGTATTAATATAGTTTCGATTAATTGTATGTTAACCGGTACTACCATGGGAAAGTGTTGAACAGCTCTGTAGCCAAAACAAAAGTTCTCATGCTTTTATTGTAATAAAACGGCGGTGTTTATCAACGTATCATTGTTTTAAAAGTAAAAATTATTGATATAATTGTTTATCTGTAACATGATAGGTTCATTTATATTGACTTTCTCCTCTAACTCTCGACGAATTTATTACTTCTGCGAGAGAAATGTCTGCACCTTTACATCTTGATAGAAACTATCTGCTTACAAGGTTACATTGTTGCCGATGTATAGGGAGGTTCAAACCTAGATTCTTTGCCTTTGACTTTTCTCGAGTCTTTATAGCAGTTTGTTTTCTGTTTTAACAACCTTACTTTCTGCGTAATATGAATAATATCGAAATATGGTTATGATCAAAAGGCAAGGTAAAATATAAGTTTGTGTAAGTTACAAATTTTCTTTTCTCTTTTCTTAATCTCTCAATCAATACAAATTTATTTATCTACTTTTACCCATAGAACATTCATCAATTAACAGTTGGTAAGAATATAAACAAGATGATATATTCTGATAATAAAGAAATTGATATTAAGTTTTTTTGAAGATTATCTAGATGCCCTTACCTAGCACATGTCACTTTGAGCTGGACAGTTTGACAATTTCGACTGTCCAAAACGTATGTCAATTATGTGTCACATAGATATTTCATTGACATCATAAGAATGCAGTTAATCCTTCTTATTTTAAGATTTATGCTAATTTAACGTTTTTACTAAATGTAGACTATAAAATCATAAAAAACATCTCATTAAAATCAAATATGTCAATAATGGTTTAGATTTTGTAAATATTGCCAGTATTCTTGATGATCATTCAGTAAAAGAACAAAATTCCTGGTTATTTTGAAAATACTGAGCTCACTCACTTGTTTATCTACTAATAATCGACACGGGAATGTGTGTTTAATTATAGCTTGGTGTATAAAGATGTTAATATCAGTGGCAATACACCTACGTCATGAATTTGCAGTAATTCCAAATACATTTATGGCCCCCGTCCCCATGTTATAACGGGAGACCTTAACATCGTCCAGGACAAAGAGTTGAAAGCATTCCTTAGTAAAGGACACAAATACCGTCCCCCGTCAATTATCAATTAGAATGAGTGTCATCAACGACTCACACCGTACTTACTGTATGAAATGGATAAAACGAAAAAAAGGTGACCAAACAAAAATCCTTAGATTCTTTTTTTTTAAATTCAGTAATGAACATAGTTGATATTCGTATCAAACATTGTAAAGACAATAGTAGTGTACCGCTGTTCAATTAAAGAACATTTTGCTCCTAACAACAACCATAATAGCCTTATTTCCCTTATCAAACATCAAACATCTTTAAGGTAATGTTTTAGTAACTACGAACAAAAGAACTAAGTCAATTTGACCTGATTTAAAACGACAACAGCAATTAAATTTTTACTAGATACGTTTTTGTTCGCTATGGAGATTCCGTATATCGTCAAGTTATCGGAATTTTAATGGGGATTAACGGTGCACCACTTATTACGGACCGGTTTCTGTATTTTACGAGTTACCATTTATGACTAAAATCAGTAAAGGCCCATCGGAACAACATCTGATACAAAAAAATAATGATACTTTTAGATATTTGAATAATATATTGGCTGTCGATAATGGCGAATTCAGTATGTACACTAAACAGATTTATCCTGCTGAACTGACTTTTCAACAAATACTAACAATGAACACTACCTTTTCCTGGATCTTGATACATGTATCTATATCTTTAACGGGAAGCTTAATACCAAAATTTACAGTAAAAGAGATGATTTGTCATTTCCTATTGTTAATTATTCATTTTTAGATGGTGACGTTCCCTTGGCAACATCTAATGATGTTTCATATCTCAACTTTTTCGACACCACTCATCACTAAGGCATATATAGATTATCCCGAGTTAAAACTGCTCATCTCTTTAAGCTCTCTTACGAATACGACATTTATTATTCAAAACCAAGCAAATGATTACCGTCGCAAATTGATCTAGAAGTCATATAAAAATAAGAAGATGTGGTATAATTGCCAATGAGACAACGCTCCACAAGAGACCAAATGACACAGAAATTAACAATTATAGATCACCGTACGGCCTTCAACAATGAGCAAAACCCATACCGCATAATGTTTTTAATTAACACTGACCCAGGGCCTACATACACAGTTAACTGAAATAGTTCCATATAATATTGAGAAATAAAATGTCGGCCGTTTACTTATTCTTCTGTTTTTATAAACCTAAGGCCACTAGTACTTTTAGATCTTTAATCAGGCAGAGAATGCAAAATTAAAACAATCATCAAAAATTTATTTTCACCTGCAGTATGTAGAACTCATTTTCTACACCTGATTCATTCATAAGCTTAGGAAAATGTGTTCAGTAGATGCTGTTTTTTTTTGTACAATCACAGTGTTCAGATACATTGACCTAAACAAAAGAGCAACCTTGTTCTCGAAAAGTAAATACTACCGTGTCACTTGTAACATGTGTAAAGTTGACCTTGATACCACAGCAAAGTTGAACCATGCTGAAGCGACATTAAAAATTTGAAAGTGGATTTTTCTACAAGTATTTATCAAAGAAATCACCCCTAATTTACAAGAATTGTTTAATTGCATCCGAATATATCACTTTTTAACATAAAGTTTTGCTGAACATGAAGACGAAGACACAGTGCATTCACAATCACTTTCTATGAAGTCTCAATACACTGGTCTTAAAAAAGTAAAATCACAAAAATACTGAACTCCGAGGAAAATTCAAAAAGGAAAGTCCCTAATCAAATGGCAAAATCAAAAGCTCAAACACAACAAACGAATGGATAACAACTGTCATATTCCTGACTTGGTACAGGCATTCTCATGTAGAAAATGGTGGATTGAACCTGGTTTTACAGCTAGCTAAACCTCTCACTTGTATGACAGTCGCATCAAATTCCATTATTTTGACAACGATGCGTGAACAAAAAAAAACAGACACAATAGGTAAAAATGTCAAAAATAGGGGTACAGCAGTCAACATTGTGTTATCATCTTAATCACCATAAAAACAAACAAATGTAACGAAGAAGCACAAAAAGGCATACATCAAATTTAACATACTCATTTTGCTTTTTTATTATACGATAAATGAACGCGAAGTAACAGCACACATGCAGACAAAGCCGACACAGTATATTCATTCTATGTAAAAGTAAACAACAATATTAAAAATCATGCTTGTTACCCATCAAATATAAATGGTTTTGAAGAGGTGATTAGTTCATGTTATGGCATTTGTAACAATATTTTCTAACTAAATTCTCAAAAATCTTGCAACGCAATCACACGTTCAACAATACGCCCAAATACGTTTAAATAGTATAATTTTTTTTTTTGTAAACATGCAATAAATGTATGCAAAAAACATTCTGTAATACATCATGTTATTAAAAAGCGAAGAATCAATATAAAAAAACCAAATAAAGAACACGGTTAACATAGTGTGGATATTGTGTTTTTAAAATTTTCTGTTTCAAAATTTAAGAAATTATTTCAAAATAAGGAATGTATTATCCCTTATGTATAGCTCTGATTATTTTACTGACTAGCTATACTATTTGGTTTTTTTTTTCTTTTTTAAAAAAGCTTTTGATTTTAAAATAGTTTGGCTTCGAGTATCACTGAGTATATATGAGTATATATTTATTGTCAAAATGCGCATCTATCTGGTGCAGTAACATTGAAGTAAATATAAAATTCTGAGTAACTAAAATAAAAGAATACCTTTAACGATACCAGTTTAACTGTATCAGATGCGCATTTCGACAATAAATGAATATATGAACCTATATCAGTGCTTTCACCAATTGATAGATTGTTAAATATGCACAAAAACTGTAAATAACACTAACTGTAACCAAAAAAGAGAACCGTACATAGTAACCGAAACTGATATCGTCAATAGACTCCTCAGTACAGGTACAATTTTTATAACCTATATCGTATTTGCGGTTTTATGGAACTAGTATTGCAGTTACCTGTAGTAGTTGTTCACGTGAATTTTGATATAAAAATAAGGAGATATGGTATGATTGCAAATGAGACAACTATCCACCAAAGTTCAAATGAAGTTGATGTAAGCAATTATAGGCAACCTTTAGGCCTTCCACAATGAGAAAAACCCATACCATAAGGTCGACTATAAAAGGCCCCGACAAGAAAATATGAAACAATTCAATTGAGAAAAAAAACGGCCTTATTTATAACAAAACATCTCTTTATACAGTAAGTTACATTACATGGTATTTAAGTTATACGTATCTTTGAATTGGCAATTTGTCCAAATTCTTAATTATGGAGATACATCTTCGTCTAAACAACATTTTTTTTGATGAAATTAATCAAAATAAAAATGTAATTTGTTTTATTTCACTTATTTGTGGACAGTATTTAATTAGAGGAAAAATCTGTTTCATGAGTTTCAGTATCCCCTATATGGAGATTCTGGAAACCATTTCCCTAGCGATCCTTTCGACTTTATACATACAAAAAATACTTACCTTCGCTATTAGAAACACCAATCGTACAGAGGATTATTACAATCAAACAGCAACACTTGGTCATAATGCTGAAAACAAAATTATTTTATATCAATTCCATATGCTGTCTATCAATATTCAAGACTATTCAGAAATTAACGTCACTTAAAGTTTATTAATTTACATGTCCAATAGTTTACAAATTTGGTGATGTCTTAGAAATAGATATTTTCAATAACTTTTGTTTTGTATTATCAAAAAATGTGTGATGTATCATAAATGCTACTTAGTAGTTTGTATGAAACGAATATGTAACGTTCGCCAGAATTGTGCCGGATATATCAGCATATTCATTATTTCTAGTGGACAAGCAACAGTGCTAGATGTCGTATGCATAGAAGGACGTGTTTAACTTTGCGGACATTCAAAATATATATTCTTAATGGATTTTTTGTTGCAATAAAGTTTTTGTTTTTTCAATATATCGAATGTCTGTATTTAATGCTCATCCTTTTTCTTAATTTCGATAGTACTGTTTGAGGGTTATTTCAGAATCACATTTGCTGCATCCTCTACATAATATTGCTCTGTTAGCTATACAATAAAGTATATCAATCTCATTCGTACGTTTATATTTATATCTGAATGTATTCCCTCATATAACATCCATAATGCATAATAGTTCTACTGTGTTCAGTGTTTGTTTATTCCACATTGGCTAGAGATATAAGGGGAGGGCTACGATCTCACAAAACATTTTAACACTGGCGCATTGTTCAGTGTTTGTATATTCCACATTGGTTAGAGATATAAGGGGAGGGTTACGATCTCACAAAACATTTTAACACTGGCGCATTGTTCAGTGTTTGTATATTCCACATTGGCTAGAGATATAAGGGGAGGGTTACGATCTCACAAAACATTTTAACACTGGCGCATTGTTCAGTGTTTGTATATTCCATATTGGCTAGAGATATAAGGGGAGGGTTACGATCTCACAAAACATTTTAACACTGGCGCATTGTTCAGTGTTTGTATATTCCATATTGGCTAGAGATATAAGGGGAGGGTTACGATCTCACAAAACATTTTAACACTGGCGCATTGTTCAGTGTTTGTATATTCCATATTGGCTAGAGATATAAGGGGAGGGTTAAAATCTCACAAAACAGTTTAACACTGCTGCATTGTTTGCTCCTGTCCCAAGTCAAGAACTTTGTTAGTCTTTTGTTGATTCCTTTGTAGGTTTCGGAATTTAGTGTTGCGTCCATTTCGCTGAACTAGTATATATTATATTAAAGGCAACAGTAGTATACAGGTGTTCATAAGTCATAAATCGATTTAGAGAAAACAAATCGGGGTTACAAACTAAAACCGAGGGAAACACATCAACTGTAAGAGGAAAACTGAAGTGCAACAAAAACAAACGCAAACATACATAGAAATGAACTATTACATAACAACTGCAATATTCCTGACTGGGTACAGGACATTTTAAGAAAAAATGGTGGGTTGAACCTGGTTTTATTGCTAGCCAAACCTCCCCTTTTATGACAATGTTAAAAAATATCGCAAAAATGACAACACCACGTGACAGAAGTACAGCACAAACAATAATATAATAGTCGACACAACATGCAAACCGCTGAACAACACGAACATATTTCACAAAAAAGAATATGTGGTATGGTTGCCAATGAGACAACTCTTCACAAACAAACCAAAATGACACAGAAATTAACAACTATAGGTCACCGTACGGCCTTCAACAATGAACAAAGCCCTTTGGCTGTTTTCTAGTATTTTGTCGAATTGTTGGATCAAAGAGGTTCAATAGCAGAAAAACAGAAAATCTATTTTGCTTAAAACAAAAAACAGTAAATGAAAGTCAATAACAGATAACAGTAATAAAAAATAGCTCATAACAGTGAATAACATTTGTCTTCAATATGTTTAATGAAAACAAAATCCAAACAAAGCCATTAGAAAGTAAACATGCTGATAATCAATGAATAATGGAATTTCTTCGTATTACACTCCTCCCACTTCTGATGGTAACAGCTATCATGAAATCCAAGGTTGTTGAAGACATTGACTGTTCCAACACGGATTGTAGTTGCAGTCCACATCATCTGACTCAGAATTCCATCCTTATCTTTGTCTAATACATTTTTTTTTAAAGTGATTAGCCCAATTTCTCATTGACATTTGTTCATCAGCACTCAAGATTTTATTTTTATGGTCTATTATAGGCATGTCCCCCCTAAATCCGTCTGTAAATGCCAGGTGATCAACAGAATACTCAGCATTGTACATATCAAGCACTAAAGTTAGAATCAAAAGTTCAGATTCAACTATCTCTACTGATCGGATTGTTTTGTGAGCGTCAGTTCTCTCTGTGCCATTTGTAACTTTTTTTCTTCCGTTTATACCATGCACATTCCAAATGTTTCACATGCTTCTCTTTCTGAATGTGTAGGGACTTGTACGCGCTTAAGGTTAACCGAAAGTGCTGAAAACAGCAACCAAAATTGTTAAAAAATTCTAATGAATTTTTCACCGCATTTGGATAGATATTACAATCATTTGCAATACACATTTCCATTGGTTGACTGAACTAAGCATTTTCTATAGGTCCTGAATTATTACATTCTTGCCGAGTTCCTCCAAAAACTTGGACAAAGCCTTTAACTTCCACATTGTTATTTCATTTAACAGTGTGGTTTGTATATTTCTTAACACGTATTCATCATCCATCAGTGCTGAAATTCCGAATACCTCCTTGCATTTATTTGTCTTGTCGGAAATATAACTTGTTTTTCTATTTTTCTCTCGTTGTATGGTCTAATTTAAAAACTCTACCTTGGTTACCACCGAAGGAAAAATGAGCCGTATTCATATTCATGGAAAGTGACAATATGGTCTTACAAGCAGGAGGAAAGTCAGATAAATCATTCATTACTCCTTTCAAACCTACACGATCCTACCAAAGACAGCACGCATAAATTGTTCTGCTTGTATCAGATGCAAAAGGAGGATAATATCTGAGGCTGCAGTTATGCAAGGAGGAATGACATATTTTGATAGTTGTATTTTACTCAAGTCCACATCATTTTATATTCATTTCATTATTTATCTAGTACTTTTGTCAGTTTATTACGCAGTTGTGTAATGGAACCAGTAACTGACATGCTTTTTTGTTAGGGCGAATCTCTAGTTTATCCCCTTCCTAATTTTTAAGAACGGTTTTAATCTTAGAAGGAGACATCTTATTTGAAGCACCAAAAAACATAAAAATTCGAATCCGTTTGTATAAGCAAGGTATCTAGCATCTTTGTATTGATGAAATATAATTTCAACAAAACATATACTGTTAAAATGCTACATTACATAGACTGATTGCTATGGGTGTATCTAATAATCTGAGCAAATAAAATACGTTGACAATATTTCAAATAAAACAGTGTTGTGTTACCTTAAGAATTATATTGAAAAGTAGACTGCAAGGAATATTCAAATCGGAAAGTCCGTTATCAAATGGCTAAATCGAAAGCTTTAACACATTAAACAAATTGAACAATTGCAGATTATAACAATTTTTGTTCTTAGTAAAACATTTAGAACATACCTTAATGTGTAATATCAGACCTGAAACTAGAAAGATGTCTTGCAAAATGATATGGCTACTCACTTCAAATGCAATTTATAGGCAACCTGTTTACGGTTTTCAACAATGGTTAGTGACATATGCTGTTTTCTTTCTTCATCTTTTATTGAACGCGGACCATATGCTTTGAGAGCGTTAAACTTTCATTTATTTTTTCTTGCTTTCTGATTGTTAAGCATTAACAATATTGGACCAATTTTACTCTTCTAGTGATCATATAATTTATCATACCTCAAATAAATTTTAAAATTAGTAAATTTGACAACCGTTAATCAGTAAGTTAAAACAGGCGACAGCACAATAAAAAAAAATTATATCAACTGAAAAAAATCCCAAAATATTACATTCCGAGAGATACGCAGGTCCTTTACATACAAATCAAATTAGCAAACTGGAATAATTTGATCAAGAGAAAGTGCCCATTAGGATTTAAGAAACAGTTGTTTTACACAAAATGTGTAGTTATATCAATTTTTTATCTTTCCTAAAATCATTAAAATAGCAGTGCGCCTTAAAATTTATACAGATTGTAGTAACTACAAATTGCGTTATTTCCTTTCTTTGTTTATACAATCTTTTGACATTTCGAGAACATAGGGTAGGACGCTGATCACAGAATCCTGAAGCTGTGATATTTCGTCTTTTCATTGATATATTTCTTCCTGACATTGATAAAGAACGTGTTTCAAAAATTCAAGTTATATTTCCTTTTTTAGATAATGTTTTGGTCATAAATTGATAAAAAATGTGACGGAAGGCAAATCGTTATCTTAGTTTACCTATATATTATAAGAGAATGTTTGTCCTGATATTGATAAAAGAATGTGGTTAGAAGAAGCTGTTATCTTTACGTTATTTCACAAGACAATGTTTTATGTTGAAATTGATGAAAGAGTGTGGTTCAAAGAAGCTGTCATCTCACATTTATTCATTATGATAATGTTTTATCCTGAAATTGATAAACGGTGTGCTACACACTCAATGGAAATTGAAAAATCAAATATAATCGAGACCAACCAGAAAATTATTAGTATTATTAGGAAAGGAGCCATGGATTATATTACATTCAAAGATATTTTTGCAAAGAGAGATCTTAAATCAGGAGGTATGATTCCTCTGCCTAAATTACAAAAACTGGATGCTGAACTAATAGAAAAATTCAACAAAATCCAGCGCTGTATAGGATTGTCCGATTCAAATGAGATAAATATATTGTCTTGCTAGATGTTGCATGCTCAAGGATTTGTTGTCTGTTCAAGAATAAAAAGAAAGAAAAACAACATATGTCACCAATCATAATGTTGATCAAGGTCGTATTAATACAGATTGATATAAGATAGAATTTTTTACCTGCACAGTAATGTGGTTTTAAAAAGATGTTTTTTTTTAGGATACTAGTTCTTCCTTCAATTAATAAAAGAATGTGGTTCAATGAACCTGTTATCTAACAGTTATTCTTTAGAATAATGTGTTGTCCAAAAATTGATAAACGGTGTGCTACACACTCCTCGGAAATTGAAACATTAAATAAATCGAGACCAACCAGAAAATTATTATTATTATTTTTGAAATGCATAGGAAATGAGCTATGGATAATAACACATTCAAATGCTAATAGAGATCTTAATCCAGAAAGTGTGCATCTTCTGCCGAAATTACTCAAACTGGATGATGAGCTAGTATAAAAATTCAACATAATCAAGAGCTGTATAGGATTGTCCGATTCAAATGAGATAGATATATTGACTTTCAAGATGTTGCATGCTCAAGGATGTGTTGCCCGTTCAAGGATAAAAAGAAAGAAAAACAACATATGTCACCAATCATAAGTTTTGATCAAGGTCGTATGAAAACAGATTCAAATCAGACTTAATTAATGACTTGCACAGGAATGTGGTTTAAAAAGATGTCATATTAGGTTTATCTATTGTTGTCTATATAATGGAATTATATGATATTGTAACACAATTGAGAGGTTTAGTTTACTATAAAACCAGGTTTAATTCACTATTTTCTACATAAGGAGATGCCTGTTCCAAGTCAGGAATATGGCAGTTGTTTTCCATTCGTTTGATGTATTTGGGCTTTGCCATTTGATCAGGGCCTTTCTTCCTGAATTGAATTTTCCTTGGGGTTCCTTTTTTTGTTGTTGTTATTTTATTTTTTTATTAAGATACTAGTTTTTCCAACACTTGATAGAAGAATGTGATTCAAAGAAGCTGTAACCTTTTCCATTATTTATTGAGATGATGTTTTTGTCATGTAATAGATTAAGGGTGTGGTTAAAAGAAGATAGTAGCTTACCTTTAGTTATTATAATTCGTTCTGAAATTGATAAACGGTTTGTTAATTTTAAGTTATATATTAGTCACAAAATACGTCACTGTTTGTTTTGTCCTGTGCTGTCGTTAATGGAAGATGTTCGTTGTTATTCTGCGGTTTACATGTTGTAACGACTATTTTATTATCTATTTGCGAGTTTCTCTGTGCAGAGTGTTCTTCCGTTTGTTTGTGCTGTATTCCTGTCACATAGTGGTGTCATTTAAGCAATATTTTTTTACATTGCCATATAAGCGGGAGGTTTGGCTAGCCATAAAACCAAGTTCAACCCATCATTTTTTCTTAAAATGTCCTGTACCAAGTCAGGAATATAGCAGTTGTTATCAAATAGTTCGTTTCTATGTTTGTTGGCGATTGTTTTTGTTGCACTTCAGTGTTTCTGTTGTTCCGTTGTTATCCTCTTATAGATGATGTGTTACCCTCGGTGTTAGTTTGTAACCCGGATTTGTTTTCTCTCAATCGATTTATGACTTCTGAACAGCGGTATACTACTGTTGCCTTTATTTGTTACACATTTCATGGACATTGATAAATTCAAAAATGAAAACAACTCGTTATTATTTAAATGCGTTCGAAGCGCTTTTCTGGATTTACCTTCATCAGGAACGCTCAAAGCCGAATATTTGAAAGCCGAGGATGTACAAGAACCAAAACAGTTGAAAAGCTATATAATCAAAAAGTATCTATAACATAGCCAAATCCATCTAAGGTCAACTTTACCTGATGAGACAAACAAATTAATTGAGTGCAACCAGAAAATCAGAAGTACTAAAATTCGTGAAAGCGGGTAATCAGAAATACGACGAAACTGTTTCCTCGCGTAGTGGTATTAACCACATATAAATTCTAAAAAAATAAACTCCAATGAACATTTCTATAATTTGGAGGTAGACTTTTTCAGCAAATTGTCGGCATTCCTATGGGAACGTACTCATATTTTCTTATGAGTCAGAGTTCCTTCATAGACACTTGTCAAAAACAAGAAGACCAAGAAGCCAGATCATTTAATTTCACATTCAAATATATTGACGATGTTCTTTTGTTCTTTCGATTAAAAATCCAAACTTTTCTGATTGGTATATCCTCAAGAACTAAAAATTAAAGAATCAATAGACACGGCTTCCTCTGCTTCATTTTTAGACTGATGCCTCGACTTTTACATATGCGGTCATCTCACTACCAGAAACTATGACAAACGAGACGATTTAACTTTCAATTTTTCGATTTCTCCCACCTTAGTAACACTATACCAACTTCACCTGCATATGGGATATAAATTTCTTAACTCATTCGGTATTCAAGAGCTTACAGCTGTTACCCAGATTTTATAAAACGTCACCAGTATCTGAGCAGAAAGTTGATGAACATGGGTTATGTCAAAGAACGTCTCGTCCTTTTTCTAAAAAAAAGATTCATCGGAAGATACCATACCTTGTAAATATTCCGTTTCAACTTCACAAATAATATATGATGGTCTTCAAGTATAGATTCTAGGTAATGAAATTATTTATTATCTTAATTACGTGTTATAGTGTTTTATTATTTGTCTTTGTACTGTTTATACTCTTACTGTACTATTATTTGTCTGTTTGTCTTTTTATTTTTGGCCATGACGTTGTCAGTTTGTTTTCGATTTATGAGTTTGACTGTCCCTCTGGTATCTTTTGTCCCTCTTTTATAGATATAAGAAGATGTGGTATGAGTGCCAATAAGACAACTCTCCATCCAAGTCAAAATTTATAATAGTAAATCATTATAGGTCACAGTACGGTCTTTAACACGGAGCATTGGCTCACACCGAACAGTAAGCTATAAAGGGCCCCAAAAAAAAATACTAGTGTAAAACCATTCAAACGGGAAAACCAACGGTCTAATCTATATAAAAAACGAGAAACGAGAAACACTTATGAACCACATCAACAAACGACAACTACTGAACATCAGATTCCTGACTTTGGACAGATGCAAACAAATGCAGCGGGTTTAAACGTTTTAATGGTACCAAACCTTCACCCTTTTTCTGAAACAATAGTGTAACATCACAACATAGAAAGACACACTATAAAATATCAACTGAAATAGCTTAACTCAATCAAAGGACATATTAACACCATTGAACATACACTGAACAAATAAATTTGACCTATGACACAATGTAAATACAAAATAAATAAACTAAGGGAAGAATAATAAAAGTAACATGTTATATCGGTAAGAAATGTTAAACAATTATGGAAAAACAATATACTCGAACAAAAATACTATCCATTTGCAATAACTTTAAACACAGGTAAATGAAAATAATTTTGTTGTAAGGTATACGTGTACAGTACCAATAGAGAAAGGAAATATTTTTACAAAATAAATAATTTTGATACAAAATAAATAAACTAAGGGAAGAATAATAAAAGTAACATGTTACATCGGTAAGAAATGTGAAACAATTAAAGAAAAACAATATGCTCGAACAAAAATACCATCCATTTGCAATAACTTTAAACACAAGGTAAATGAAAATAATTTTGTTGTTAGGTATACGTGTACAGTACAGTCCATTTTTTGTAATATTCTTTTGGCGTGACTCGGTACTTATGCATCCCTCCAATGTGTTGTTGTGCTGTGGTAATTTTTTGTATTCTTGTCTTTCATTTTTGCTTATGTGCTTTGTTTATATGACATTTTGTTTTTCTTTGTTGACAAATTTGTTTGTTTTTATAGTAATTAAGATTATAACACAATGTTGACTGCTGTACCCTTATTTTTAAATGTATTATGTCTGTTTGTTTTGTTCGCACATTGATGTCAATATAATGGAATTATATATGCCTGTCATACAAGTGAGAGGTTTAGCTATCTTAAAAACAAGGTTTAATCCACCATTTTCTACATAAGGAAATACCTGTACCAAGTCAGGAATATGACGGTTGTTTTTGATACGTTTGATGTGTTTGAGCTTTTGATTTCGCCGTTTGATAAGGAACTTTCCGATTTGAATTTTCCTTGGAGTTCGATATTTTTGTTATTGTATTTTTTTTAAATGCATAGGATAGGATCTATGAATGATATTACATTCAAATGTATTTCTGCAACGAGAAACCTTAAACCAAGATGGTTGTATTTCTGCCAAAATTACACAAACTGGATCCTGAACTAATAGAAAAAGTTCAACAAAATCCAGCGCTGTATAACAATGTCCGAATTTAAGGGAGACCTATTGTCTCATTATCTTGAACTGCTTTACAGAGAATAAGAAGTATTTGAATAAATTCAAGCTCTGTAGTTTTAAAACCAAAAACACATTCAAGAGACTTTAGAATTCATTTATCTTCTTCAGAAATTTCTGGTAACATGTGACGCTTACTACGTCAGTTTTAGCATAAAACAAATGAACAATATGTCTCATGTAGAACTGATTGATGCAATAGTCAAACATGCTTGGCCGATGATAATTAGAGGTAAAAATACGATATTACCTTTCCTGAGATATACATTGGAACTTCTAAAGATAGTAAAAGTACTTGAACATAACCAAATTATATTCAATACTTAATTTTACAAAACTACAACTGGAGTTCCACTGAGAAATATCTCCCAATTTACCTATCTGAGAGTTTATGAAGTCTTTAAAAGCACGTAGGGACTTTCAAACACAGACAAAACATATCAAGCCTAGAGGGTTTAGCTACGATTTTTTTTTTTAAATTTAAATTGAAGGTACATACGATGAAATAGCAGACTTTTTAAGCATGTTTACAATTTGCTTGCTTTTGTAGTGATTCACTTGACGTGACTCGGTACTTGTACATCACGTCATTGTGTTGTTGTGCTATGGTTAATTTTTGTATTCTTGTCTTTCGTTTTTGCTAATGTGCTTTGTCTATATGCCTTTTTTGTCTTTGTTGACATATTTGCTTGTTTTTGTAGTTATTAAGATTATAACACAATGTTGACTACTGTAACTCTATTTTTGACATTTTTACCTATTATTTCTGTTTGTTTTGTTCACACATCGTTGTCAATATAATGGAATTTTATGCGACTGTCATACAAGTGAGAGGTTAAGCTTGCTATAAAACCAGGTTTTATCATAAGAAAATGCCTGTACCAAGTCAGGAATATGACAGTTGTTATCCATTCGTTTGATGTGTTTGAGCTTTTGATTTTGCCATTTACCTAAGGACTTTCCGTTTAGAATTTTCCTCGGAGTTCGGTATTTTTGTTATTCTACTATTTTCATCATGCTTTACTAAAATTTGCATACGAGAAATCGAAAACAACTAAACTGCAGTTTTTAGATGTATTGGTATTCAAAGGCCCAAAACAGGTTTCTAAAAACTTCATCACAATCCATAAAATAAACTGAAAATTATCAGTACTTAAAGAGGACCTCGCGCCATCCCTAATCTTCTTTCAAAGGAATGAGTAAAAGGTAAAATGCTAGAAATTATTTTGTAAAATGTATAAACATATTGTATTTAAGGTGGCTGGGGTGTCTTCCTCGATCTTGGATTTTGAAGTAGCAGATAACAATTGTTCAAGGTCTTTAATGAAATGTGCAAATTTTGAGAGTAGTATGTAATTCATGTGTAAGACTTTTCATGTTAACATAGAAAATTACGTTATTTATCATATTAACGGCTGTATTTTCTAAAAAAACACAATGTTTTTGTTTGATTAATTTTTTTTCAACTTTGCCACATAAGGGGAGATAACTCAGATAGAAGGTGAGATAACTCAAATAAAATAATTTTTATAACAGAAAGTGTTGTGAATTTACCTATTTTATTATGTAGCAAGAAAACAAGTCCGGTGACCCTTGTTTTTCTTTTTCTTATCTGAAAGCATGTTCTTCTCACATTTTATCTTAAATTCTATGGTGTGGTTTTCTTTTTATCACACAAAATTGGATTTTCCATGCATAATCTATACAAAATTTGACAATTTTGCACAACCTGTAGCATGAAAAAAAGTCCGGTGACCCATACTTTTTATTATATTTTGGAAAAAAGCCTGATAAAAACTACATTTTGACAAATTATTAAAAATTTTTATGGATTTTAAATAAGACCCCCCCTCCTTGTGATCTTTGGAATTGGGATGCTGGAATAATATAAATGCATGACAATGTGTTATTGAAATATTTGACCTTTTATTACGCTACCAGGCTGAAAATTGTGTAAGTTGACATATTGTTTGCTTTAATGATCTCCTTGTATCACAATGCTGTGATTACCAGGTGCGTTTTGAACATTAAAATTTCCTTAATATGTTAATAATGTTTCTTTTGTAAGTCCGGTTGGATATTGTGTTATGTCTTATCGCGTGTGGTTTGAATACTGTATTTTCGGTACATTTCACATATGTCTTATTTTTTTGTAAATTCGAGTTACTCGTGGTTCGTCTACAGTGTTTTTGTTTTAAGGTGTTTGTTATCAAGTGTGCCTTATATTTACAGCTATTTTATTTTTATTTTTTATATGTATGTAAAACTTAAGATAAATAATCAGCTATTTCATTTTTG